GTGTGGAGATTCCTCAGCCTACTAAAGATAGACCTTCCATATGATCCAGCAATTCCACTCCTAGGTATTTATCCAAAGGACACAGAAACATTAATTCAAAAGGGCACCTGCACCCCTATGTTTATAGCAGCACTATTTACAATAGCTAAGCTATCGCAACAACCCAAATGCCCAAAAATAGATGACTGGATCAAGAAGATGTGGTACATATACACAATGTTATATTACACAGTAATCAAAAAAGATAAATTTGTGCAATTTGCAGCAACATTGATGAAGCTGGAAGGGATCATGCTCAGTGAAGTAAGCCAGAAAGAAAAAGAAAAATATCAATTGATCTCACTCATAGCAGGAATTTAGAAAACCTAAATAAGGGACCAGGAAAAAGTTTAATTATAATAAAGAAAAAATCAAAGTCAACAAGCAACCATAAACCAGAGACATACTACGGGGGTTGGGAGGTGGGGAGGAGAGGAGGGATTAGGGCCAAAATAATGGGGCTGAGAATTGTATGGGGAATATAACCAAAATGAAAATGCATACATTGTGCGTAAATGAAAAATGATGCAAGAATTATATAAAATAAAATAAAAAATTTTTAAAAATCATGTAAGCAATGGAAGTGATAACTAATTCTGTTGTGGTAATCATTCCCTAATTTATATGTCAATGTATTGATGTATGTACACAATACAGCATACTTCATTTTGTATGCCTGAACTTGCGTATGTTATATTTTAATGATATCTTCATTAAGTTGGGGTAAGAAGAATTTGCTGATTTGTAGGTGATGGACATGGACATGTAGTAGTACCATGCAAACCCTTCAAGAAGGACTTGGGTGAGGTCAACAGATCCTTCCAACCATAAGCTCCTCAAAGTTGGGTGTATCCTGCCAGACCTCACGCCTTCCCAAAGGCAAGTAGCTTCTGGTGATGAGCCAGAGTACAAATATCTAGCCATTTTGACTAATATTTGACAATGGGTAAATTTTTTTTATCTCTTAGATATTCAAGTGGGATAGACTGAGGCTATTTGCTCTACTCTCCCACATCCCCCCCTTTTACAGGTACTGACCCAACAATGTGCTTCATAAGTGTACTCAGCATAGTAAACCTTACCAGAGAACCCAACCTGTGACATAGCATCAAAGAGATTCCACCAACAGAGGATGTCCATTGGACAAGATTGCACTTGTTTTCTCTGGGCATTTGAATTGAGGATCATCTCTGCTGCTGTTTAAGAAACACAGCCAGAGTTTATTGCATGATTGTTCTGCCGTTCATTCAAGAAAAGGGTTTCTATCATGTGGAATTGGGCAACTCATGGAAAGTCAGGTTATTGTGTGTGTTAAGCACTGTCATTAGGATGTTAATTTAGGAGGCAAAGAGTGCCCAATGGCAGGTACAGTTGAAGAGCTTAGTATATAGTCTCAGTTCTGTTGACCTTAATTGAATTATTTTTGTGCAAGAAACAGAAATTTCCCACCCCACTTAGAATGGTTTCAGAATAGAAAAATAATTCAGATATTTATCCAATTAAATTAACAAAGCCAGGGTAACTTGAAAACCAAAATTTGGCAAAGATAGTACAAAGATAAAAAATACTGCAAAGCAAATCCAGCAGCATTTTAAAAGAATAAACCCAATACTCTAAAGGAGGTACTTGGTTTCTAAGTTAGGCTGCCAGGGTTCAAGCCCTAACCCCATGCTTTTTTCCGGAGTTGGAACCTTGGGTTGCTAGTACCTCTCCAAGCATCATTTTCATCATTTGTGAAATGGAAATGAAAATAGGACCCACTTCCTGGTTTCTGTAAAGATTATGACGGTAATTTGTACACAGAACTGCACATGGCCTTAGAGATGAGCACATATACAGACAGGTACCTGGCACCTGTGCTGTTATCTGGATGATGACTTAAACAGGACACTCCATATTTGCCACTTTATTGGGAAACCAGGATCTTTTGGAGAACCTTTTCTGGTTTGGAAATGAAAAACAAGTAGAGAATGCTTGAAAAGGGAAGTCCAAAAACTATCGATAAAACCCGGGATATTTGGCCAGAGAAATGTCTCTTTTCTCTTTTCTGCTAGAGCAACTAAAGCCTGTGTTTGGTTTACAACCTGGCATGGTAGACCCAGTCCTTGGCAGGACTTAAAGTTAGGTTAACCGGGGATGTGCATAAAGGCCCCAGTGACAGGCTTCCAAGCTCTGGTCTCCAAAATACAGTGGTCAGGTTGCTGGTGACTGGCATCCTCAAGAGAAGTGGCTGACAGCTGATAAGGGATGGAGAAGCTGAGCTGTCACGTGATTTGACAGCATTTTAATCAGGCACAAGAGGAAGAGAAAAGAAGCAAAGTCAGTGTAACAATAAGCTAGAAAAACATTTGAATGCACATTAGGGGAATGATTTTCTTTATTTTTTAAAAATTATGTTGATTGAAGTAAGGTTGATTTACAAGAATTTCACACCTCTAAAAATGTATGTTGTCATACCACACCCACCACAAAAGCACCAGTAATTCTCTACCTCAGTCTGTTGGGCCCCCACCCCCACTTGCCTTCCATCTCTCACTCACTCCTTCTGGTAGCCTCAATTTGTTAGTCAGATTTCTAGGGTTTAGTTTTGTCTGTTCCTTTGTTTTGTCTCTTTCTATCCCACATATGTGTGCCATGATCCAGTATTTTTCTTTCTCCTTTGATTTATTTCACTTAACATAATACCTGTCCATTTCTCTCATGCTATCACAAATGGCAAGATTTCATTTTTTTTTAATATTTGAATAGTATTCCATTGTTGTTTATACACCACATCAGTTGCTGGGCACTTAGGTTGTTTCCATGACTTGGCTATTGTAAGTAAGGCCACAGTGAACATAACTGGCTATATATTCATTTGAGTTAAAGTTTTTGTATTCTTCAGGTAGATTCCCAGGAAAGGGATAACTAGATCATATGTTATATCTATATTTAATGTTTTGAGGAACCTTCATACTGTTTTCCATAGGGGCTGGATTAGTTTCCATTCCCACAAACATTGTAGAAAGATTCTGTTTTCTCTGCACACTTGTTTCTGGTCTTTTTGATATGGGCTAATATTACAGGTGTGAGGTGGTACCTCATTGTGATTTTGATTTGCATTTCCCTGAGAAGAAGTGATGAGAAGCATTTATTTTCATGTCCTTATTGGCCATCTGTATGTCTTCTTTGGAAAAATGTCTGTTTGTCGCTTTGCCCATGTTTTTGATTGGGTTATTTTTGTCATTGTTGTTGATTTGTATGAATTCTTTGTACATTTTGGATATTGGCCCCTTGTTGGATATATGATATCAAGCATAAACAAATGAGACTACATTACATTAACAAGCTCCTTATAGAAATCTCCTTATAGAAAACAAACTGTCACTAAAACAAAGACTCCCCCCAAATGGAAGAAAATTTTTGCACATCATTTCTCTAATATGTGATGAAGGATTTTCCAACAACAGGAGAATCTTGTTCTATGCAGTGTCACTGTGAGCTCCAAAGACTCATAGCCAGAGCAGGTGTCTGAGTAGGAGGGACAATGTCATGTTCTACAACTCTGGGCCACTAGATGGTACTTGAGGCCAATGGCTGAGAAAAGAGCAAGTTCTGGGAGAGGAGGGACAGATTCTGGTTTGGAGGGGGTGGAGACAGAGGGGCAGGTCTTCCAGGCTGAATAAAGGCAAGGGAGTGGTGACTTAAGACTTAAAACACCTTTGCCTGTGTTTCAAGAGTCCCCATTCTAGGGTGATGGCATTCAGTTCCAGGCAGCCATCACAGTCTGTGGATGCCAGGTGTCCAGGCTGAGCCAGCATCCCCAGTGAGCTGCTGTGCAAGAGAAGCGGAGTGAGGGAAGGCACTGGTAAATAGCCACACTTTTTATTTACTTGAAATTGCTTTGAAGGCATGTAAAGTCCTGCTTAGCCTACATGTGGAAGGAAGTTCCTCGTCAGTGACTTTTTAAAACAGTTTGATACGATGTTTAATAAAATAATTGGTTGAGCTAACTAAGATGCAATTAGACATAAATAACAAATGATTACAGCCCAACGAATACTTGTTTATTGATGATGACAAAAGTGGACAGCAATTCTAACTCTTGAGCTCTGAGTTTGGAGGGCAAGGGTTTTTTTTTAATATAAGTTATGGCAGATTATTTGGGCAACGAAGGAGTGAAATATCGGTCTCTAGTATTTAATGAATTGAAACCCTTGTTTCTTTGTACCAGGCTTATGTGGAACTTTTCAAACTAGTAATCAGACTTGTGGAATTTCAAATAAAGAATCAGCGAAAATATTGAGGGAAAAACAACATTCACTGTGCCTCAAATTTAATGTGTATGTGTAGCCTAAATTTATGAACTGAGAACAGTTAACTTTTCATATGCGACTGTACTCATGTTGGTCACAATCTCAGTTCAAGTATGGAGACAATCCTGGTGGGTTTTAGAAAAGGGAGGGCAAATGTTATGAAGACTCATTATCTGTCCTTTTAAGAGGATAAGAGCCAGTATATCCTTCCAAAATCTGAGCTGACATGAGGAAAATTCAGTGCTGGAGCCTTAGGAACATGAAAATCAGGAGATTGAAGGGATTTTGTATGTTGTGAGTTGGTGATACCATTGACGGTGAACCTGTGTGCTGGTTCATAACACAGAAAGCCAAGTTGTCCAAGGGCCCTGAGTATAGTCCCTTCATGTAAGAGGTATGTGAAAGAACAGGATCCCAAAAGAAGGAGGGCAGAGGAAGTTGTGAAAATTTCAAGCCTGCATGCTGAGGCATGCTTTTGCAGGGATCATGGATACAGGGCAGAGTGGCACACTTACCTCACACTAATGCACTGAGTCCACTCACGCCCATTCTTAGGCTGTGCTTGCTTTTGACATGCTGTTTCAGTTCTTTGGTGGGCTGTTAACCTCTCTGAATCATGAATTAAAAACCTGTTTTACAGTAAGTTTGCGGCCAAAAAGAAGAGCAATGAATTCCTCATTTCACCCGCATTTTTTGGATTTCCACTTGAACACCACAGAGGGTAACCTGTCAGGACCAAATGCCAAGAACAAGTCTTCACCATGTGGGGATATGGGCATTGCAGCAGAGGTGTTCCTCACTTTGGGGCTCATCAGTCTCTTAGAGAACATCTTGGTCATCAGTGCCATTGTAAAGAACAAGAACTTGCATTCACCCATGTATTTCTTTGTTTGCAGTTTAGCAGTAGCTGACATGCTGGTGAGTGTGTCCAATGCCTGGGAGACCATCACTATATACTTAATAAATAATAAGCACCTCGTGATAGCAGATGCCTTTGTGCGGCAAATCGACAATGTCTTGGATTCCATGATCTGCATTTCCGTGGTGGCCTCCATGTGCAGTTTGCTGGCCATTGCTGTGGATAGGTATGTCACCATCTTCTATGCCCTGCGCTACCACCACATCATGACAGTAAAGCGTTCTGGGGTGATTATTGCCTGCATCTGGACCTTCTGCACAAGCTGCGGCATTGTTTTCATCATTTACTATGAATCCACTTATGTCATCATTTGCCTCATAGCCATGTTCTTCACTATGTTGTTCCTCATGGTGTCTCTCTATATACATATGTTCCTCCTGGCACGGACTCACACACAGCAGATAGCAGCTCTGCCGGGATTTGATTCTGTGCGGCAAAGGACCAGCATGAAAGGCGCAGTCACCCTGACCATGCTTCTGGGTGTTTTCATCGTGTGCTGGGCTCCATTTTTCCTCCATCTCATTTTGATGATTTCTTGTCCCCAGAACCTCTACTGTTCTTGCTTCATGTCTTACTTCAACGTGTACCTCATACTCATCATGTGTAATTCAGTGATTGATCCTCTGATTTATGCCTTCCGCAGCCAAGAGTTGCGGAAGACCTTTAAAAAGATTGTGTTGCCATGACTTCAGAGTGCCCTGTAGGCTCCCTGGCAGGTAAACCAAAACTCTGTGCAGCTCTCTTTTCTCCTTTCTATATCTTATGACAAATTCAGGTAGGTACAGCCAAGAGGGAAAACAAAATAACTAGAAACCCAAACTGTGCATTTTTCTTTCCCTTTATTCCAGCTCAAGTTTGTTCTTAACATGTACTACTTTTATTGTGTGCGGGGGGCAAATTTTGGGTCAGACATGCACACGTTACTTATGATTTGTGACAATTTCTTACTCTGCTGATTTCCTCCTACTTTTATTTTTTTGCTCTCACTCATCTCTGTAGGTGTGTGTTTGGCCAGAGTGCAGGTCAAGACTTGATAAAAAGCTGGCTTAGAAAAACTAAAGAAAAGCTGTGAATCATCTAAAGAAAAACTGTGAATATCTATATCATGTCTGCTAGGTCTCTCTCCCCAAAACCTGGTCCCTAATTTTGCTGAATGCTTCCAGTAGTTATGCATACTTTTGGGGTGGCATAGAGGAGGGAAATTCTATCCATTTGAAAATATCCTTTTATTTGTTGTGGGATCTTTATAGCTCTCCCTTCCTAAACTTTTGGTTTTATGGCTTGTGTCCATAATTGTCCTAGTAGAATGTTCTTAGACATATTTCTGTGCTTGTACTTCCACAGACATAAAACTTCACACCATGATCTTTGCCTCATTTTGTGTGAAAGTCTCTGGATTCTTTCTCAGCATCTTATTCTGACTCAGTCCAGGATTTACAAATGGTTGTTGGGGTAGGGGATATGGCATTCCGGGGGCACAGAGCACCCTCTGCACTGCATAGAGCTCATGCCCATAGCCAATAGTCTTTGTCCTTCTCAGACTGATTCTGTCTTGGAATCTGAAGCCCTGTCACTCTATATTTTGCACATCACAGTCTAACTCCGTCAGCCAGAGAAGGTCAATTGCCCAATCTATAACTCTGCGATTCCTTCTTTTCCAACTTAGAGTGGGGTAAGAAAACCTTAGTTCACATCCTGCCTCTGTCATTAATGGTCAGTGTAGCCTTAATCATCTCATTTCAGGTTGTACACCTGTGTCAAGTTCACAGGACGGTCATGAGAACTGCATGAGAAAATGTGAAAACACCTTGGAAACCAGTAAAGCACCATAGGGATTGGCTGTTTTTTTTAAAAAATAAATTTGCAAATGGAGTAAACACTAGGGGAGGATATAAAGGGTAGTGGTCAGATTAGTGGCCTGGACGCCAATGCAGGCATGGGCCCTGGGTATATCACTAACATCTCTAAGTCCCAATGTTATTATCTGAAGTGAAAGACTTGGTCATTATAGCTTTGTTTTCCAGTCTATCCCTTTAGGTGTTCTCTTTTGTTTTAGATATTCACATCTACAGTGCATGCCATGAAGGAAAATGTAAATTGAGCAGGATTCCATTAAGATCACACAAGGATGAACTGCTGAAGCCTACAGGGCAGTGAAATTTCCTGGACAGTACACATAAATAACTTACAGATTTGCCCTCCACCCATGGCACCTCAGAGTCTGGGGGAAAAAAATGGTCCTAGCATAAGCAGGAGAGTGCATAAGACATCCAAACCTTTGGAAAATGGCAAATTAGCAGGTTGTTAAAAAGCAAGGGTTGATGGGGGCAGCTTGCCCTTTAGATTTTTCCTGTTCCTTTTAATTGAACATGAACATAGGTACCTATGAGTGGGATGTGAGTGACCCACTACTGGGTGGTTGTTATGGGAAACCACAGTTCATGGTTACAAAGGATGTCTCAGGAACCTGGGTTCTGTGAATAATACCCTCTTGGCTACCCTGCTTGCCCTGCTCATCTTTGAGATCCTGTTACCTACTGCCATCTCTGGTCCAAAGTAGGCCATCAGATGATGTTTGTCATTGGTGCTGAAAAATGTGTACTTAAGCTGTTGCCTAATAACTCCAATTGCTAAGTGAGAGCACTGGAATTCTTATCTGATGGGTAGAAGTAAACGTTGGCCCTTGTGATATACATGGGTTCCATCTGGCAACTCAGTTCTCACTTGGATAACTGTGTTCTGAGCACCGTGTGCTCAGATAAGGTTTGACCTTTTCTACAGAAGCAGTAAAGGAAGTGCTCATCTTTTAATCTCTATATAAAGAGTGCAGAAACAATCTAAGTAAGTTCAGATGTGTCTTCATTTGAAAGGAATTCATGACTCAGTAAATATCTTCAAATAAGACAATCCCTATAACTCCAACATGAAGTCCAACAAACAAATGGGCCATAGAACTGTCAAATATTATATGATCCTTTCTGCTTCTGTAGGAACTTTACTTGGTGTACACATGTGTGTTCAAAGGATTGGTTAAAAAGATAGAAGGACCAGTCCCACCCCCATCTGAACTCCCATCATTCTGATGTGTAATAATCAGTGTTTTTTGGTCTCCCTATCAATGTGTCAGCCACTACACCAAAATGAGAAGGTATAGTCATTGGTGAATTATAATGAAGTCTTTATTTGACAGTATTTATGGCCTGAAGGATGGACATTTCTCAGTTAAAAATAATTTAACTCCTAAAAAGAAAAAAAATTGCACTTGACATTATATATGGCAGTAAACAAGAAAATATTTTGGGAATATCGTTTATTAAGACTTGGTATGGGACTAGAAGCACTGCCCACTATAGAGAATCTCTGCTATAAAAGAATCTCATGGAGTGTGAAATATTTCAAGACTGTGAATATTTCAAGACTTTTGGAAACATTGTCCACAATGCAACATACTACATAGATGAATTTATGATGCACAAACTCTACAGTTCTCACTTGTGTTGGCTACTGTTGGATGCATTTAATGAGCTTCTATGGAAAAAAAAGAGACAAGAATGAACTGAATGCAAACAGGAGTAAAAGGATTCAAGATGATTGTACAACAATGTAATGGCACTTAATGTCACTGGACTGTAGACTTAAAAATTCTTGAGGGTAAATTTTATATTATGTGTATTTTACAACAATTTTATGACTAAATAAATGAAATTTCTAGTGATAGATTTGAAACCCTCTTAAAAAAAATTCAAGAAAATCCATAGTCAGAGACTTCAGAATGGGAAGAGATAGCTTGTCTCAAGTCAATAAGTAAAAGATAAAATTAAGAAACTTAAGTAACACGTTACAGGGCACAGAATAATCAGGGCTGGGGAGGGTGTGGGGGCGCTGGAAACTTAGTGAATAGGACAAAAGAGAGATGAAAGAGTACAGTTTTGCCTAACTGATGTTTTACTCTTGTTCTTGGTCATTTTTTCCTTTCCTTTCCTCCCTTTTCTATAAAACTCAGCATCTTTATTACAGGTTTCATAAAGTCTCTTTTTAAAAAATTTATTTATTTGCCCATTGTTTACATAACTATATAATTTGAGGGAGTACAGCTCCACACCTCCATATGTGCAAGGGCTTTACTCACCCTCCACTAGAGCACCAGTGCCAATACCCTGTCACTGGCCCTCTCCTGTTTCTTCCCTCATCCTCTCTGGAAATCAGTACACTTTTCACAGACTCTAATAATTATTTTTATTGTGTTTTGCCAGTTTTTTTCCCTTTGGATATTGCTATTCCACAAATGAGTGGAACCATCCAGTACCTGTCTTTCACTTTCTGACTTACCTCACTTAGCATAATCACTGCAAGATCCATCCATTTTGTCCCAAAAGGCACATTTTCATCTTTCTAAATAGCCAAATAGTAGTCTATAAAGTGTATATTCCACAGTTTCTCTACTCAGTCATCTGTCATTGGCCATTTAGGTAGGTTCCATGAATTATCTACTGTGAATAATACTGCAATGAACAAAGGAGTGTATAAGCCTTTTTGTATTAGCTTTTATATTCTTTGGGCAATTATCTAGCAGTAGTGTTGCTGACTCATGGTATTTCAATTTTTATTTTATTCCCTTTTTATTTAAAAAAATTATTTATTCATGCATACAAGCCAGATGTGCGGGAGGGTGAGAGGATTCACCAGAGACAGAGCGGGGAACAGAACAGGCAGACTGACCAAAACACACTGCTGAGGGGAGCAGCAGGCAAGACAGGAGAGGTCTGCTGTGCCATGTGGGTATCTCCCTGGCCAGCCAGGATCAAACCTGCACTGCAGAGGCTGAGGACAGCTTCACAGCGCTGTGCTCAACCACCTGCACCACTAAGGAGGCCCTGCCTTTTTATTTTTTTAAAGGAATTTCCATACCATTTTTCAAAGGGGTTCCACTACATTAACACTCTCATCAACAGTGTATGAATGTTCCTTTTTCTCTACATCCTCACCAACATTTGTTGTTTCCTTTCTTTTTGATAGAGGCTATTTTCATGGGGTGTGGTGCTATTTCATTGTGACTTTATCTTATAGTAAGTGATGTGAAATTGAAAATTTTTCCTGTGCCTATGGGCCACCTGAATGTCTTATTTGGAGAAGTGTCTACCTAGGATTTTTGACAATTTTTTGATTGGGTTTTTTGTTTTTGTTGTTGAGTTGTTTACATATTTTGGAAATTAACCCCGTCAGATGTCTGATGTGCACATATCTTCTCCCAGTCCATAGGTTACTTTTTGCTTTTTTGTGATGGTTTCTTTTTCAGTACAAAAGCCGTTTAGTTTGATGTTGTCCCATTTGTTTATTTTTGCTTTTGTTCCCCTTGCTGCCATGGATGCATCCCCAAGTACATCTCTGTGGTTGATATCCAGGTGTGTATATACCACATCTTCTTGATCCAGTTATCTATTTTTGGGCATTTGGGTTGTTTCCAGGTTTTTCCTATTGTAAATAGTGCTGCAATAAACATAGGTGGACAGGTGTTCTTTTGAATCAATGTTTTTGTGTCCTTTGGGTAGATCCCTAGCAGTGGACTTGCTGGGTCATATGATAGCTCCATTTTTGGTAGACTGAGGAACCTCCAGACAGCTTTCCATAGTGGTTGGACCAGTTTGCACTCCCACCAGCAATGTAGGAGAGTTCCTTTTTCACCACA